GGGGTTTAAAATCAAGCAGCACAGTTTTAACTGAGAAATAAAGTGAAAACAAAAATCACAGAAGCTTCCTAAAACCAAGCATGACGATGAAAATCTGTTACATCTCTCTGTTAATTCTAGTGTTTCCAACAGTACTGTCTGACTCTCCTCCCACAGTGCTTACAAAGTGTCTGAGAACACGCTTCCTCACTGACCTGAGTATCAGCCAGCACAACAGATGGTCGTGCTGCTCCACTAAGGAAAACGCTCCTATAACCGCCCAAAACCTTTGCAAATTTTGCCAAAGTACATCTGCCCAACATTAATAGATGTTGGTGAAATGATGTCCTCTCCGCTCATTCAAGCACTTGTCACACACAGCTGCAGCTTCACCTATTTCTGCCTCTTCCTCACACAAAGGGCCTAGATGAAGAGTTTGCTTGAAGCAGCTCATTCTTGTTTGTAAATTGACTTGCACAAACACACACACACACACACACACACACACACACACACACACACACACACACACACACACACACACACACACACACACACAGAAGACAGCTGTCCTGACCAGAATCTTGTCAAAGTCAAAGTCATTTATTGTCATTTTCTACTACATGTGCAGGACATACAGAGAAAAGAAATTCAGTTTGTAGGGTTCAGGTTAGAGGTTATCTGAATTACCTGTATCTCTCAGGTTGCCATATATTATAGGCTGTTGTATTTTTTTGTTTACATTTTATTATATTTGACACTTTCTTTAGTGTCAGAAACAAGAATGTTTTAGGGCAGCAGTAGCTCAGGTGGTAGAGCGGGTTGCCTCATGATCGGAGGGTCATGGGTTCGATTCCAGCTCCCGCCAGGGGTATCCTGCTGTTGTGTCCTTGGGCAAGACACTTCACCCAACTTGCCTGTGTTAGTGGTGGTCAGAGGGGCCGACGGCGCCAAATGGCAGCCTCGCCTCTGTCAGACCTCCCCAGGGCGGCTGTGGCTACAAGTAACTTACCATCACTAGCGGTGTGTGAATGTGAGAGTGTGTGAAAGCGTCTTTGGGTGTCTAGAAAAGCGCTATATAAGTTCAAAGCATTATTATTATTATTTAGTGAATAAAATTTGCCAGTCCCCCCTCCAATTCATTCAGTATGACAAAACATGCAGTTTTTGATGATGAAATTTCCCATATTTATCTGTGTATGCTGCTTTTCATTCTCAGAAATACAGTAGCAGCTAATTTAGACAGTTATCCTTTTCTGTTTGAGGCTTCAGACCTGCAGCATGAGTGAACTCACTGGCTGTAACATGAACCAGACTGGTGCACATCTGGATGTCAGCTGAGATATTTTTAAACCAGGGACACACCTCCTCCAGCATTCTTATCTTTGAAACAACTCAGTGTGTGACGGAGTGAGGCCAAATAATGGTTTGTTAATGTATTTTGTGCACAACTTGGGTGAGGTTTTGTGCATAATAGGTGAGTAATCAGATAATATAATGTGTGCTTTAAATGATTGGTGGGACAAGATAAAAAAAAAAGATGTGTATTGGCAGTTAGGACCAAAAATCAAAGACAGCAATATTGTTATCATTTGATTAAATCAGCCCATAACGTGACGGCAAGGTGAATGCTATTTAAAAAATAATACAACAGATTAGCAAGTGTATGCAATGGTGATCGTTTTGATGGTATTTTAGTAGTTTTTATAATGTTCACTCATTATCTTTAACTGTCCTGCCTTAACAGGGTCACAGGAAGCTGATGCTAAAAGAATCATTGGGTAAGAGGTGGGGGGGGGGGGGCAACTTGGACAGGTCTCCAGTCCATTACTCACACCTAAGGACAAGTAGAGTCTTAAATCAACCTAACCTGTTTTGGTCTAAAGGAGGAAACTGAGCACCAGGTGAAGTCCTACACAATATGCAAGAACATGGCAATTCCATGCAGAAAGGCTGCAGCTGGGATTGGAACCAGCAACCTTTTTGTTGCAAGGCAACGATGCTACCATCTGCACCATGACACGAATCCTGTAAGGTGTGTACATAAGGTTAGCTAGCCTTAGCTTCCTACTGTGAGCCTCCACTTGCTAGACTCACCACAAAACACTTACACAATCCTCAGCAAGTGAATCTGCTGTGTGGTTTGACAGCTGTGGGTCACTACCATCCAACATTCACTACCAGATGCTACTGATTGATTTTAGTATGCCAAAGTTGGGCTTGATGCCATTTTGTCACGCTTCACAATAAATATTTCCTGTGCTTATGATATAAATTGCTTATATTCCAATCCACCAGTTTCTAGTGAAAACATTGCATCATGCAGGGGTACTGAATGTAAATGTATCCAGATACCTTCTCCACATACATACGTTATGTAGATATGAAGTAAAAATGACCTATTGTGGTAAAATTTTGTTACTGCCACCACTTTAAACAACAGGAGCTTTTTGCTAGACGTCGTCGGCGCTGCAGTATCACGCCCAGAACACACCAGGCACGGAAGCGCAACGAAGCGCCGCGAAGCGTCGTGGAATGACAAGCGCTTCTAATCGGCGCCCTTGTTAACCTATGCTCTCGGTCACATAAGCTGCGAAATGCCGCAAAGCACCACGAAGGCTTGCGCTGTGCAGCGATCGCATCGGCGTGAGCTCTAATTTTTCGTGAGCCGTCAGTGAGACGCATCACTTCTGGCAGTAAGTCAAACCAAAGCAGAAGAGGCAGGCCGGTAAATTTAACAAAATAAAACACTGTAATTGATAAATGTGATCATTTTTGTGTATCTACACAGACTAGAGAGATTAAACGTTCGTTACAGTGGAGGAGGGGCATGCGGGTTGTTTCACTATTATGCTTCGTATGTGAATGGTGGCAATGCTTGGCCTGGTAGCGTACCAGACTTATTAAGTGCTGGGGCAAACCATTTTGTTATCGGTGGAGGAAATTAGACAAATGACCATATTATTCTTTTTTTGAATCTCCACAATATATTTGTAGCTATACTCTGTTAAAATCTTTTTAAGAGGCGTGAAAAGAGGTTTTCCAATTTTGCTATTGCAGCTTTAATGACGGAAACCAGAGCTAATCAACAATAGTTGTTGTTGTCTTACCTGCTTATCCTTTTCCGGGTTGCAGGAGCAGCATCCCAACTAGGGAGCTCCAGACCGTCCTCTCCCCGGCCTTGTCCACCAGCTCCTCCGGCAGGACCCCAAGGCGTTCCCGGACCAGATTGGAGATGTAACCTCTCCAACGTGTCCTGGGTCGACCCGGGGGCCTCCTGCCGGCAGGACATGCCTGAAACACTTCCCCGGGGAGGCGCCCAGGAGGCATCCTGACCAGATGCCCAAACCACCTCAACTGGCTCCTTTCGATCCGGAGGAGCAGCGGTTCTACTCCGAGTCCCTCCCGAATGTCTGAGCTCCTCACCCTATCTCTAAGGCTGAGCCCGGCCACACTATGGAGGAAACTCATTTCGGCCGCTTGTATCCGCAATCTCGTTCTTTCGGTCATTACCCAAAGCTCATGACCATAGGTGAGGATTGGGACGTAGATCGACCGGTAAATCGAGAGCCTGGCCTTCTGGCTCAGCTCCCTCTTCACCATGACAGATAGGTTCAGCGTCCGCATCACTGCAGATGCTGAACCAATCCGCCTGTCGATCTCCCGATCCCTCCTACCCTCACTCGTGAACAAGACCCCGAGATACTTTAACTCCTTGACTTGAGGTAGGACCTCTCCCCCGGCCCGGAGTTGGCAAGCCACCCTTTTCTGGTCGAGAACCATGGTCTCAGATTTGGAGGTGCTGATCCTCATCCCAGCCGCTTCACACTCGGCCGCGAACCTACCCAGCAAGAGCTGAAGGTCAGAGCTGGATGAAGCTAGGAGGACCACATCATCCGCAAAAAGCAAAGACGAGATTCTCCTGCCACCAAACTTGACACACTCCACACCACGACTGCACCTAGAAATTCTGTCCATAAAGGTAATGAACAAAACCGGTGACAAAGGGCAGCCCTGGCGGAGGCCAACCCTCACTGGGAACAGGTCCGAGTTAATGAGCTAATTTTCTGAGTGTTGCTAGGTGAGTATGTGTGTCCCTGAGATGGACTGGAGATCTGTCCAGGTTAGGGTGTGCCCCATCCAGTGACTGCTGGAGCTAGGCCCCAGCTACCACCGACATCACTCAGGAGATGAGATTTGGACATATTGCATGCAATGAAGCATTGTCTTGGAGATTTGCCCAAATCATCTGTAAGTCCACAATAAGATGTTTTTAAACTCTGTCGAGCTGTGCACTCCTCTAAATAATGCTAGTAAAGCTGTTGCAGAGGGCTAGTGTCTGGTTTAGGGGCGATGTGGTTGTATTCTGAATTCACAGGACTGTTGGTGCATGGCCTAGTTGTTCATGAGGAGGAAGAAGATTGTATTGTCATGATGGATGCATAGGTGGGTGATTGTATTGTCATGATGGATGCATGGGTGGGTGATTGTATTGTCATGATGGATGGATGGATGGATGGATGGATGGATGGATGGATGGATGGATGGATGGATGGATGGATGGATGGATGGATGGATGGATGGATGGATGGATGGATGGATGGATGGATGGATGGATGGATAGATAGATAGATAGATAGATAGATAGATAGATAGATAGATAGATAGATAGATAGATAGATAGATAGAAAGATAGATAGATAGATAGATAGATAGATAGATAGATAGATAGATAGATAGATAGATAGATAGATAGATAGATAGATAGATAGAAAGAAAGATAGATAGATAGATAGATAGATAGATAGATAGATAGATAGATAGATAGATAGATAGATAGATAGATAGATGGATAGATAGATAGATGATAGATGGATGGATAGATAGATAGATAGATAGATAGATAGATAGATAGATAGATAGATAGATAGATAGATAGATAGATAGATAGATAGATAGATAGATAGATAGATAGATAGATAGATAGATAGATAGATAGATAGATAGATAGATAGACTTACATTCCAGGTGTTTTTTCTTTGGGGCTGTCTGTTCGTGTGTGGTGGCTTTACACACCGCCCGGGACACCTCGGACCCAGTCAGGGTGTACTGAGCTGCAGCGATGCGGTCCGTCAGCGTTTGCCCCGACATCTTCAATTCAGTTATTCCAACTCACGGCCAAGCGTCCAATGTGGTCCTAGCTGCCCCCTTCAAAAACAACACACATATACACACGCGCGCACAGGCGCTCGGGGAAATTCAAGAGCGGCCTCGGTGAACCCAGCTGCCCTGGACAACAGCACACAAACCCAGTACCAGAACAGAACCAGCAGGTTGCTTTAAGGGGGATCGGTGTGGTTGCATAACAAATGGAACCGGCTGCCCTCTCAGTTCAGTTTGATCCACATGCGATTGTCCCTCTAGGCCGCTATCCGTTTACAGTGCGTGTCTACGCGGCCAAAACGCGCATAATAGGATTTCCAAATACTGTTTTCAGTTCTATTGTCCACAGAGTTTCTCCTGTGCCAGCAGCCTGCCCCTGGAGCGGTCGTTCTCTCCGGGTGATGCTCGTTGTTGCCTCCCACTTCTCCTCCCTGTCTTCCTTCCTCAAGCCTCCCGGATAATCCTCCTCTACCAGCAGCAGCAGCAGCTGTGTGTCAGCGGGGTGTGCATGGAAGCTCCATCACCATCTGCATCATCATCTCCCAGCATCAAGTGCAGCGTGCGAGTTCCGGAGGCCAGGGTCGCTGGATTAAGGTGTTTTCGGTGAATTTACATCCTTCTTTTAATTAATTATTACTTACAAGAGCTCCTCACGCCCAGCCCACCACCCCCTCCTCAGAGTCAGGTGACGCAGAATTGCCTACCCCGCTGCAGAGCCAATCATCGCGAGATCTGAGTAGAGACGAGAAAGACGGTTGGAAGCAGAAGGGGGTTCTGTTCTGTACAGCAGAGCTACGGTCCTGTGAAGGTCATATGAAGCCTGGAGCTTCAGCAGCACGGCCTCACCGTGTTCTGCCATCATGTTCTCATAGATGCAAAAACTCAAAATGTGAATAAATCAGTAAATCTAATCCAAGCGAATCCGTATCTGTCTCTGTCCATGGTGCTGATCTGTGTTGTAAACTGTATTTGGGCACACTGAGTTTAACAAGGTGGCTATCAGGTTTTCATCAATCACGAGGATTACAATCGGCTATATTAACATCAAAATGCGTGTGTCAAATTCCTTTTAAAATGGCTAATACGTTTAATTGTCTTTCCAAAGGGATTCAAAATACATTCACGTGGTTGTTAAAATGACTCACACACTTAGTCTATCTAATTTTATCCTAATTTTCATAAAGCCCAAAAATAAATCCTCTAAAAACTTAAGAGAGCGCAATACTGTTTTAAAAAGCCAAGGAAGAGCTAAAGCATTTACCAGAACCGTACTAAAAGTCCTTCTCAATCATGTGAGAAACTGCTATGGTCGTACAAAAGACAAGAAGTTGTTAATGCTTCTGTCATAGAGTGGAAATAAATGTTGCACTCTGCTTTTGTCTTCTGGCCTTTTGAGCTCCCTTTGTTCATGTGTTGACACTAAACTTCTCCACGTGGTACACACTGCAGTCAAAAGGGAAGCCCTTGGGCTCAGGTTTGGAGCTGAGATGTTCATCATGTTCCAGTAAAAAAAAAGAACTCTTTCAGGTTTACACCTAAAACTTTCCAGGAGCATTTCATTGACTAAATGACTGTTTTTAATGGCTTCTATTGTTTGCAGATTTATAATAAATATGACACATTTTTCATCAAATATTAATTTATTTAATGTATTTTATGTAAACTGAGTTGTTACTTCTGGCATGAATGGCCAAAGGAAGCTAATTTCCAACTCTTATAGTGTTGTTGTTTTGGGTGCTAAAGCGTTCACCACCAAGCCTATCCACCTGGACTGGATCCAGGTGTCAAAATTAGCTGAGATGGAGGACCCAAACGCGTGTCAGCAAATCTAACAGACAGCCGGAACTTCGAACTTTACTTAATAACAAAGATGCATGATCAACAAAGAGCATCCAGAGCATATGAGGGGGAAAGAAACAGGTGAGCAGAACAATGAGTAGAACCTACCAGGGGCAAGCAGCCACAAGCAGCATCGCCTCTGGGGTCACTGGGGCACTCAAACCCCTCCACCACAATAAGGTGGCGATTCACAGAGAGGGAATTTTTTAGTTTTGTAATTTTAGTTTGTTTGTTTATTGTATGTGTGTGTGTGTGTGTGTGTGTGTTTTTGTTTGTTTTTCTGTGTTTATTTATTTATTACAATTGTAGTTAGATCTCTTTTGCTTTTCTCAATTTTTATTATTTGTAATCCTGTTTATTATTATTCCTCCAAGACTCTTGTATGTTTTTCATCGTGTTTCTACTTCTAAGGTTTCTGAGTTATTTCTGTAACTTTAGTTAAAAAAAACATTCACTTCATCCAGGACTTGCTTCTGCTTGAATCTTTTTTGTGTTTATGAATATATTTGAGTTTTTTGTAGTGTTTCCTTCTTTGTTTGCATTTTTGGTTCCTTATAGGTTTATAAATGAATGTTATAATATTTCTCTTTTTTTAATCTTATATTGAAGTGGTAGGATGGTTTCTAAGACGTTTCTGAAGCTCAAAGTGCCTGCTGATGTATATGTCACTTACGTAATACCTACTGTTGGTTTTCATCCATCCATTTTCGGCTGATCATCAGCAGTCGGGTTGCAGGGGCAGTAGCCTAAGCAAGGAGGCCCAGACTTCCCTTTCCCCAGCCACGTGGGCCATCTTCTTCTGGGTAACCCTATAAGGCGTTCCCTGGCCAGCTGTGAGACATAGTCTCTTCAGAGTGTCCTGAGTCTTCCTTTAGGTCTTCTCCCAGTTGGACATGCCTGGTAAACCTCACCACACAGGTGTTCAGGAAGCATCCTAACTAGATACCTGAGGCGCTTCAACTGGCTCCTCTCAATGTGGAGGAGCAGTGGCTCTATGCTGAGCCCCTCCTGGATGACAAAGCTTCTAACCCTATCTCTAAGGGAGAGTCCAGCCATCCCTTATCCATGATATCATTCTTTCAGTCACCACCCAAAGCTCAGGACCATAGGTGAGGGTTGGAACGTAGATCGACTGGTAAATCGAGAGCATTGTCTACCAGCTCAGCTCACTCTTCACCACGACAGACCCTCCTCTCCAGAACCCCTGAATAGACTTTCAGGAAGGCTCAGGAATGTGATCCCCTTGTAGTTGGAACACATTCTGTGGTCCTCCTTTTTAAATTTTAGGTTTCTTACGTTTGAAAAGGTTGGTAAAAAAATCCTAATCCTTCTAAGAGGAGTTTTCTTCACTTTAACCTGCTCAGTATATCCTGGTACTTTTTTGCATGAAATTGTGTTCTGTGCAGAAGATGGGCTGGTTGGTTCTTCATTAATTGATGTGCTAACAGTGCCTTTGAATAAGTTAAGTTAAATGTTGATGTATTTGATTGATTTTTAGTATTGGCACTGGATATTTGGTTTGAAGATCTTTGATAGGATGACCCATGCAGTTATGAGCTGTGAGTATAACTGCATAGATCATCCTCATGAAGTAATACTCGCAGTTTGGTTCATGAAGACATTCTCTCAGAAACAAGAAGGCAAGTGTACAGGCAACAGCCCAGGTGTCAATGGCCTCAGCCTTGCGGAGACCCAAAAGACCTCTGGGGCTCTGAAACCACAAACCTGTACTGTTCAATACCGCCATAACTCACACATCTTTACTGCAAGACCAAAATCAATTAGCTTAACCCTAAATGGTTGGGACTGCTGGTTTACAAGCATATAATTGGTCTGGTTTAATGTCTGCATGAGTCACGGCAGCATCCTTCAGCACACTGAGAGCCACCAGCAGGTCGTGTGCGATCACTTAGATATCTAAATCATTCAAATCCATCTCCAACATTTTAAACACCAAGCAAAAGCTATTCTGAAAAACAAAATGATCTTTTTACTTTATCAAGCAGTTCTGGTCAGCATCGAGCTCCCCAAACAGTCCAAACATGGCAGTTTCTCTTTCAGCTGATCTGGTGTCTTTAAAGTCAATCATTTGAATTGCAACAACCTCACCCTAGAAAGTCTGTAATAACATAAACTCCTGATGATTGGTCATTTAGTCCTCTTTTCCTCATCGCTGGAGTCCATGTCTGAGGTTGATTTATCAGGCTTTTTGTCTAAATAAATATTGGAAGAGTTTGAAGATGGGTCCACTTCAGAACCCGGCTAGCTTGTTGAAATTCTCCTAAAATGACAAATGTTCTGTTTTTCATTCTCTCAACTTAAACATCAGTCTTTGCATTTGAGTTTGGATGTAATTTGTACAATTGTTGGAAAAAAATACTTGCTGTGGTAATGCACTAACAGATGGTCCAAGAAGTCTCAGATCCATTTTTGTTTTTCTGTTAGTTAAATATTTGTGTATTTTAGGCCTCTGCTGCTCCTGTGCTAGCTGAGCTTAGTGTCCTTCTCGGACAGGTGGTCGTCCAAAGTCTGTTTACGAATCAGAATACCATCGATGTAGATGACGTAGGTAGGTTTCCTCATCGGCCACAATGAAGCCGAGCAGGTGCTGTTACCAGGTCAAATGATACCCTTTTCCAAGAGGCTGTCAATGGTTTCCTGCACATGTCCGTAGGATGCCAGAGGAATCTTGTATTGACGCATGAACATCAGCAGTTCATGTGGTGGTGTAGGAATCCTCACCTCATGGATCGTAGTCAACCCGCAGTCTAGGGAGTTGACTGGAAGAGAGTCTTTGTATAGTAGGAGCTAACATAGTTTGCCCCGCTTGACCTTGTTCATAAGAGCATCTGCCTGCCCCATGGCCTGTTCAGTCTGTGGGAGGAGAGGTGGTCCTTCAAGACTGTTGGAAAACTATTTCAATTCACTACCTCATCGCATTGAGAGACAAGTGTGCAAAGCAGTAATCAAAGCAATAGGTGGCTTTTTTTGTGTGAAGAAAACAGCATATAAAACATGTTTTCAGTTATATATATATATATGTACACACACACACACACACACACACACACACACACACACACACACACACACTCTGCTGGCAAATACCAGAACAGCACTAAATTTCCAATAGTAGTTAGAAATGAAGGGAAGAAGGAGAGTTGCTGCCCTCCAGTGGCTGTATGCTGGAACCGCATTTTGTTTAGGCAACTGGACTTCTTTGGTTTCTTGAAGACGTTTCGATTCTTATCCGAGGAACTTTGTCAGGGGATGGAGATCGAGAAGCGGGGCACCCAGATTAGTTTCAGCTTGTTAAATAACTAAAGACAGCTACAGTTTATAAGCTTGACTCCCCCATTTTAGAATTGACAAAGATCGAAATGTCTTCAAGAAACCAAAGAAGTCCAGCTGCCTTCATTTGAAACTTTTGGGTTACCATGACCTGGATGACTGAGAACTTTCACCAGCAAATTGAGAATCCACATTTTTAAGGAATATTACATTTTATTGAATACATTTATATTCTATTGACAATCTATTAAAAGTAACCAACTACAAATCATTACATGCCTAAAACTGTCCGTGTTGCACCGTTTTGAGATAAAAAGTCTGCAATGCATTTGAAATTAAATGTGCAATTGCCATTGGCTAAGAGGTACACTATGACTTTAGCTGATAGATTATGATGTCACAATGTCGTTGAGAGCCTGTCGTGTGTGTACTTGTTAGCGGCTCCACCCTCTCATCCTGCCTGGTAACATCATTTGTTGCATTTTTCAAGCAAGAAGTGGGAGTGGAGTGAGACTTTGGTAGGGGTGACTTGCTCTTTAAGCCATTTAGAAGAAAATGTTTTTGCCTCCTTGAAGCTATAAAAAATCTTAATATTTCTGTTAAACCTTTTGAGAATAATATCATGAAGAAGACGGAGGATTTGAAGGAGAAGATTGAACTGGATTGATCAAGTTAAAAGACTTCCTCAGTTGAAACACTATTAAATTCTTCCAAAGACTGTTTTGTTTCCATGAATGAATGAAAAATTTGTGCCTTCTGCTGGCAATAAACAAAACAGCAATAGATTCCCAACAGCATGCCCTACAGCTCTCCATCCTCTCTATCCTCTCCACTCAAAAGAATCGCCGGAGAGTCCACACAAATAATGTAATAAGGATCTTTTATTGGTCTCCCCCTGGGTGTGTAAGTAGAGGGCTTCCAAGGGAGTCCGGCACCCTTTCGGGTAGGCCGGGCTCCCCTTAGGACCCCCTGTTTTTTTAACCCTGAGAACGCCACATGTTATGCCCAAATAACAAAATTTTTGTTTCGTAAGTCCACAACACCTTATTCCAAAATGAAGCCGGCTTGGCCGAAAGTACTTTAGCAGACCTCAAGCGGCTGTTTGTGCTGTGGGCAGAGAAAAGCATCACTCTCGTATACAGCATCTCCTTGTGTAAAGTGCGCCAAATAGTTGAACAATGCACAGTGACTCCATCTGCAGCAGAATGATGTTGTAGGTCGTTATTGTTGGTCTGTGGGTGGACACTGACTGTTCTCACCACTCTTCACTCCCATTTATTCGACTTTTTTGGGGGGGGGGTCTGCCTAATTTGGCTTAAACAAATATTGCACACTTTCTTTAAATCCTATAGACTTTGTTTCACTTCTCAAATATCACTGTTTCATCTATATTATAAATTTAACTGACATTTTGTATTGTAACGACCAACGATTTCTACAGAAAATTCATGTAGATTAACAATGCTGCCCAAACTTTTGCACTCCACTGCAAGTCAGAACAAACTGCATTATATACCTCTTATTGCTGCAGTGAAAATCTGAAACAAATGGAGATAAAAGTCAGCAGATCAGTTTGGAGAAAACGAGCACAGATTGGTTTGAGGACTGTGGTGCATTTTTTTATATAATCAACTTGCATAAAGGCAAGGCAGCTTTATTTGTAGAGCACATTTCAAACACAGAGGCAATTCAATGTGCTTTACAATTAGCAGGTCATGATATGAAAACAACATAAAAACACAAATTAAAATACACACAGATATAGAATTACAGTTTAGGGCTAAAAGAAAAGACAAAATTACAGGACAGATTACAGCGGTGAAGATGCAGCATACGAAACAATTCATTTAAAGGCTGATCAGTAAAGGTCAGCAACAACATGTATTGCTTTTCCAGTAAAATAGTGATCAGTCAAAGATTTTTATGGAACTAAAATTTTTATGCTTTTCACATTTTTGCTTATCCGTCTAATAAAGATATACATTTGTCATTAATAAATATATGGAAGGCAAAAGCTTCAGGACCTGAAAGAAACACCAAACCAGCTTGCAGTTTTCAAATATGTCCAGTAGGTGGCAGCCAAGACACAGCTTGTCTCGCCAAAGTAAAACCACCGAAAAAGAAGTAGCGGAAGAGGAGGACCTAGCTAATCCGTGTTGTTATGAACCGTGCCCGTTTGGGTCCCTGATGTTTGGCCTACACAGCCTTAAACCGGCCTCTGTGTTCGGGCTGGTCCGGAGAGCGGCTGGGCTGAGCGGGATAACCCGGACCACGGTGTGTCAGCAGCGGAGCGCCGAGCTCCACCAGAGCGGGTACTGAGCAGAGCAGACAGGTGTTGAGCTGCTGGTTAATGTTACTCTGTTCTTTAATAGTATAACTGGAAATAACCTTTGGAAAATTAACCCTATTAACCAAACTGAAAACGTTAGGTTCTGTTTCGTTCCCTCCTGACTGCCAGTGGCAGTAAACAGAGTGGATGTATCTCCTCGCGCTCTGCGCAGGTCGAGTACTAATGTAAACAAAGTCACGCACGTGACACGTAGCGCGCCTGGTCAACGAGTCTAAATTACGCGCCGATAGCTACGTTCGGGTCTCCCGGGATCTTCTCGCCCGAGAACTTCCGAGTGACCCCTGTGACTGGCAGTCATCCAGGAACTCGCAGAACCATAGTTACACCGTAACTTCCGTTTTTCTATACAAGTTGTAGTCAGAGATTCATTAAGCATGAACAAGACTTATGTAGAGGTCAGATGAAGTTGGTTACATGTGTCTTTTTTATTACAGTAAGTGGAAAAACATTTCTTAAGAGTCATGCCTTAGAAGAATATTAGTAATAAAATAAATGCACACAAGCATTAAGAACTTTCACGGTTTTATGCATCATTACGTCATCCTCGGATAAAACTGACGCCATTCTAAATATCCCATTACTGCCCAGTATGTAGTGGATTTATGGTTAGCAGCAAGCGGGACAATAGCCCTTTAAGGTTTGATGACATTACAGTTTTTCTCAATTGCTAAAACACTAAAATCCATTTGAGAAAGTTCTCAGATGCTTGAACTCATTAAGCTAACTGTTGAGTTTGTTGTCAAAACCTTAAACCATTTCACACGATTTATAAAAACTCTAAATGCATTCTCATTCTTAAAACACATTCTGCACTCTAATGTACATGTCATCCATGATGGTAAACACAAGTGGCACACATGTACCCATAACAAGAGCACAAATGTCATTGATTGAACACAGTCAGTCAAAATACATTTCACTTGTTTCAAATGATGTGACAACCAATATACGGTAAGCAAGTTCAGAGAGCAAACAGCTTGTTGAAGGTGGGAATGAGAAAATGTGACAATGGATAGAATAATTCATGTTAGAGGACGAGGATGGGTGCGTATGCGAGGTGGGGGATGAGGAGGAGGGCAAGAAAGAGAAAAGGGACGAAGAGGAAGAGCAAGACAAAGAGTGGAAATATCCAATGAAATTTGAGCAACAGTCATATGAGAGTAGTGTTTGATTTCGAGCACAGCTCAAACTGTTTTGAGGCGAAAGTTTGATTTTGCAAGAGGAATGAGAGGTTTTGTAAATCGTGCTTGAAGCTGAGGTTTTGTGTTAAACGTTTTGAGACAAGGGAGCAAGGTTTCAGGAATTGCGCTTTAGCAATAGAGAAAAACTATAATTTATGCACAGCTTCAGCTTCAAGTATGTCAGGATTTTAACTGCATTTCCATAACCTGCAAACTGCCTGAGTTCCTGCTTTTACGGTCACATTTACTGGTCATCAGTTAGTCACTACATCCAATCAGCAGCTCATAGCAGTTGTTTTATGACAGTGTCGCCATGCCCAGTGCTCGATTTGTCTCCCACACCACCGTGGACCCCGAGGAGGTGAAGAGGTTCCAGTCACTGGCCAACAAGTGGTGGGATGAACAGGGAGAATTTGCTGCCCTTCATGCAATGAATGACCTCAGGGTGCCTTTTGTAAGGTGAGTATTTATTCAGTTTAGGAGTTGATTTTATTTCTTTCAGATTAGCAGGGTCATCAGTAGACAGTGTCTACATAAAGATTTTTATTTAATGTGAAAATGCACGAGTGGGGGCCTTGTACCAGCTGGTCCCAGCGCCACTTATGCACACACTCCGAAGGCTGCTTTACATGATGCGACCTGTCCCCTGTCATCATGACCACACCCACACAAGAGCTCCATGCTGCTGTCTTGTGTGTGTGTGTGTGTGTCTGATATGTTCACTGAGACTCTGTCCTTAGGTGGTGTCTCCATGATATGCAGCACCGCTGTTGATACTGGATATTTGTATTACTGATGCTCTTCTGCTGGTACAATGAAAACATGTGAGGATAAGACTTTTGCAGGATATATTTGAATGAGAGCCGCACGACTTCTATAAAGGAAGAATTCTAAAGCTTATTTTTGTAACATTGATTGGGCGATGCTGGTAATAAAAATGAATGAAATTCCATGTAATTGCAGGGATAATCTGTTGAACGTGCAATGGGAGCATCACCCTGGGAAACCACTCGCAGGGCTGAGAATCCTGGATGTCGGCTGTGGTGGAGGCCTCCTCACAGAGGTAAAAGCAAGGAAAAAACAAAAGAACACAGAGAGAAATCGATATTTGTCCTGAAATTGATGTTTTAATGCTACTCTGAGGATTTTCTTTGCTGTTGTACACTTGTGGTCTCCAGTGTGCATCCTTCTCACATCCACTCAGAGCATCACCTGGGATAAACAACATATCAGGGTCACTGCAAACACCTTCCTTATAATTGAACCAGTCCCAGTGTGGTAGAGGGACATGCTGTTGTCTGTGGTGTTTTTATCTGCTTGTTAGTGCAGTTAGCTTGACAGCCAGGACCGAGGATGACACTTAGACACTAACATCGACTCCACTCCACCTGGACCAGGTTGGGAGTGGCCCATTTAGGTAGCCTTTGATTTTCCTGCACAAAACATGATGTCTATTTAGCCCTCTTCCCGAGGCGGTCTGCCTGGAGCCGAACTGGTCCAACACATCCACTGCTGACTGGGGCAGGTAAAGGACCACGCACTTGTAAACTAAGAAGTGATAACTTGGTTACACAGACCTGGTTTGGGTTTGATTCTGATGTTGAGCAAAAAACGTCCTCAGTAAAATATTCTGGGTGACAGTAAAGTATCTGCGGTAACTGCCACCACCTAATGCAAATGAGCTGAGATGTCGTTCGTCCCTGTGATTTAGTTTCAACAAATTCCTATCAACTGTTTTAGCTGATGGTCCCATTTTAATAATAATAATAATAATAATAAGCCACAACGGAGCTCAGTAATAAAAGACGAGTCTGATCTTCTTGGGTGATGATGTGTAAAGTTTTATAACGGAACTTGTTTCAAATCGGAATAATTAAATCAATTTTAGCACCAAACATTTCTGTTCTAACTGCTGTTTTGGATCGAGCCAATAAAAACTGTAGATATTAGTTTGGTTTGACATGAACGCTGGGTCAAAGACATTTTTAAACCTTGGTAAATATATATTTTCCTGTTCTGGTTGTTGAAGCAGCCAGAATCATACTATAGAGCAGTGTTACCTAAACCTCGCCTCTCCTCGTGCTTCCCCAGCCTCTGGGTCGCCTGGGAGCCAACGTGCTGGGATTAGATCCAGTAGAAGACAGCATCCGCATCGCCCAGCAGCATTTGTCACATGACCTGGACCTTTGTGACCAGGTGTCCTACCGGGCCTGCACGCTGGAGCAGCTGTCTGGCGAGGGAAATGAAGAGCAGCAGGAGCAGAGTGGAGAATGGAGCGAGGGCCAGTTTGATGCAGTTGTAGCATCAGAAGTTGTGGAGCATCTGGCTGACTTGGAAACATTCGCCATCTGCTGTAACCGTGTACTGAAGGTGCATCTCATCAAAGAGTGTTTGTGTTGTTTACCTGCACAAGTTAGATGTTTCTGCATCCGTACAGCATGTTCACCTGAGCACCTCCCAAAGTGCAGATGGTGACTGTTGTGTCTGGTTCATCTCTGGGAAAAGCTGCATGTGTATTACAAGCACTAAAAGCTTCAGTGAAGGATGTGAATCAGTGCTGCAGCAGAGGATCATAATCTCCTGGGTCAGTGGGCCAAAGGAGTGTAAAAAACACACATAGTCTTCCTCAGCTTCTGCACTTTTCTTTCACTGTGACAAATCTTTTTCCTCTTGTGTTTTCTTAAAAGGTTTTCTAAAACACACGTTTCTGAGCAGGTGACGGGATATTTTTTATCATAATTTATTGTTCTCTTTGCCTGAATTGAACCCAGAAGTTTAGAACCATTATAGCTTAAGTCCTTTCTTTAAATACTGTCTTCACTCAGGAAGCAGCACAGCTTCCCAGTCTAACAAGCACCTGCAGGGATGTCATTCAATCTGTTTTTACATCCAGCAAAAGCTGACCTGTGAAGTTATATTTTAGGAACTAAATATTTCCACCTTTTCTCGTCATGCAGCCGGGCGGTTCACTGTTCATCACCACCATAAATAAAACCAATCTCTCCTATGCGCTGGCTATTGTTGTAGCAGAGCAACTACTACACATTGTTCCCAGTGGGACACATGACTGGGAGAAGTTCATCAGTCCAGTAGAGCTAGAGCGCCTCCTGGAGTCCAGTAAGTGTTCTAATAAATGTATTGTACTAGTTTTGTTTTAGTAAATACATTTTTAATCAGTTTCTTAAAAGGCCATATAAATAAGAAAATAAATTAAAAATATATATATATTAGTATATTTATATAAAATATATATATTTTATACATATTAGACATTTTTTGCAAAACTTTTTTCCCCCCCTTGCTTCTTTGTCAGATGGTTTTTCAGTGCAGTCTGTCCAAGGAATGATGTACAACCCTCTATCTGGAGCCTGGTGCTGGACCAACAGCACCGCCATCAACTACGCCCTTCACGCAGTGAAAGAGAACCATGATGCTGAGGACAGCTGCAGCCACCCAGAGGACGTTCCTGCTGACAAACACAGCTGAGGCTGTCTATGAGAGCAAAGCACGGGATTCAGATGTGTAGTAGGGATTTTGACCTTCCGCCTGCAAGCAGAAATGCAGCACAGAAGACTGAAGTTGTTTATCCACGTAGATCTACATTTTAGTTTTTGTTGATTGCCAGAATCAGACCGCTCTAAGCTTGGGATGTGTTAAAATCTATTATGTTTAATAGTAGTAGTAGTAGACTGTATTTAACAGACACACTGGTCCAGTATAAAATAAGGTAAAATGTGTAAGACATTGTAAATGTTAAAACAATGAAAAATACAAAGTAAAATACATAAAACGAACGGCGTACATAAACGTAACAGACATCTGTATAAAAATTTCAAGTGGAAATATGTTTATATTACAAAAACATATCAGACCCATATAATTAACAAACTATTCATGGGCTATTGCTTTTGCAGTTTAAACCCAGTTTAACAGACTTTTCAAGTCAACAGGAATTTGAATGAGGAAATTGAAATGAGATTTGAATGTGTCTAATAAAAGTTGCTTCATAATTTCAGAATTGTCCTGGTAAACCAGCACAGGAGACAATCATTTCCTCTGGGATTGTAATGGGTCTTATGTGGATGTGTTATGTAATACTAATCTCCCCCAGAAGCAGAGCAAGTCATGCCTGCTGCAATGCATTTTCCTAATCAATCACGTGACATCTACCGTATTAAGAAATTACGATTTACTACAAGACACAAATATCCATAATGTTAGTATTAAACTATGAAATATATCCAGTTTGTTTCCCCCCCTCTGACTGTCCCCCACGAGCTCAGCTCCTCTATGGCGCTAGTGCTTACAATGCGCGTTCACTGGAGGTGAGCGACGGTTTTATTTATTTTGCTCCCATCGGTGTCAAAACCAAAACGCGCGTCTTGAACGAGCTTGCTGGGTAAAGCGCGTTTAGAACGTACGCTTTTTTGACCCCTTTGACTTGCCATTCAATAGTAACCATGGCAGCGGTGCTACGAGCTTCAGCCCAAATCGACCTGGCGTGAAAACAACATTGAAGCTTAAACTCGTTGATTGGCGACATAAGCAACAAGCGGGTTAGTTCACCTGCTGCTGGATTAAGAGCTCAACATTGCTGTCCTTTTGTACTTGCGAAGTCGTTCCAGAGTAAGTACCCGCGCAGATACTTCTGTCCATTTAGAGTTAGATCAACTAGCAGTGCAAAGTTAGTATGTGGATGTAGCAGTAGGCCTACTGTATCCCGTGTCGAACTCGCTAACACATCTGTTATCTCCGGTGTTCATTGATATTTTTAAATGAGCACAGGTCTAACTTTTCTGGGAAGATGGGGGCTCGACACCAGGGCGGGTGGGGCCACCCTTTCACTGAAGACAATAGTCCAGCTGCATCAAGCTACCAGAACCCAGAACCTGATACTTCACCACCGGAAACTGTCATGCTTTTCCTTCAAAACTAAACGAAAATGGCTGACTATTCAGTGGAACATTTATGACACGAATATCTAAATTGATTTGAAACGGTCAAAGCTACAGATGCGGCCATGAAGTTGAAGACTGAATTGATAGTTGTCACAAAATTTGTTCCCTTTGTTTTTCAGCTTTAGTGACATGTATTATTGTCATTTTTTTTACTTGGCCATGGCTGTAGCACTGAAGTGTTCTTTTAAATAATTCACCTTCAGTTAATCTTTCTTGAGACAAAGAGCAGATTATCACAGAGATGTGTTGTAAAAGTAGAACTTTTAAAATCATCAGCAAAATCACTCATTAAAAATTTGGGCATCTTATTACGGAAAATTGTATTACTGTAAAAATAAAGCTTTAAATGCTGGCACATGAGCCAAAATGTCTCATGTGCCAGCCTGTACTTGAACTCGGGTCTTCTTTAGGCTGGTGTATTAATAGTCGAGCTATCCATTTGACATCCGAATATTGATAATACTCCTCAGAGCCTGAGGAGCAGAGTGCAGTATGTGCGCCACCCACTGGGTTTGTGACATGACAGACAGTCGGTGGCATTTTTTTCACCTGCTACTGGTTCACAGTGATTTGAATGCAGAAATACTCAGAAATGCAGTTTTGAGCTTAAAGTTCAGATGTGTCCTGTAGCATTAGAAAAATGCCTCAAGAATATGTTAAAAACAAAAAAGCACAACTTTCATTGGAGTGGGTCTTTAATAGTCTGTGAGAAGATGGATAGATGAACGATTGAAAATAGACTATTTTTGGTGAGACCTACTCAGACTGAACTGTTGCTGTTTTAAGTGTCAGCAGCCAGCCTTTATTTTCTGAGCGGTAAACTGGAGCTGAAGGGATCAGATCATCAACAGAGACTTTAATTTTGAAAATTTTAACCGGAAATTACGTTGATGTGCGTGTAATTCACTTGACACCCTTCAAAGGGAGCCTCGTCCAGTCAGGAGTTGATATGTTTACCTCCTGTTTTATGGATAAATAAGCGACAGCTCCGCCGCGACCATGCCGTAGGTGACCCGCCTGGATGAAGCCGAACGGGGACCGCAGCTGGGTGGACGCGGGGTGGTGGCTGTAACAGAGGGTGGGAGGATGCACTGGGCGGCTGGCTTCGCCTCCACCCGGCCGTGTGTGGTTGAACTGGGGCGGAACCACAGCCTGCCGCTGGGGCTGTGCGCCTCCGAGCAGCACCAGTCTTTGTATGGCTACATCATCGCCTTTCCTTTGCAGGACTACGGAGGCATCATGTCGGTTCTGGGCTCGGAGTCCTGGTGGAAGAAGACCCTGTACATCACCGGGGGGGCCCTGCTGGCTGCTGCAGCCTACCTACTGCATGAGCTGCTCGCCATCAGGTAGGCTCACATCTGCGTGTCTGGACTGTTTATGTTGTTTTTATTTACCCCTCGTTCTGTGGGTCAAATTGTGATCACACCTGCTAAAAGTGACTAACCGCTCGTGAATTCAGATCTGTAATTATAGATGGTGTGCGGACTGGAAGTAGTTTCCATAGATCTCGCGGTGGTTCCTGAGATTTGTGTCCATGTTTTCCTCCTTCCAAGGACAAGGACGTTGAGGGGGGAAATGAAAAGGATGCAGGCGCTTGTTCTTGGGCCATCTCAGTACCAGTCTGCAGGCAGAGTAAACAGACCTATTGCGCTGGAGTCAGCTTGGTCTGCAGAACAGCTGCTTGTTAAACCTGCAAACACGTCTTGATTTGCGTCAAGTCCCAGTGATTTACACTGAACAATAGAGCAGAATAAATATGCCCGTGAGAGATTATTTTTGGGCCAGCAGCACCGGGGAGTGAGTACATCCTGTTACAGTGGCCTAATATCCCCTCACCCACCCCCCTCCCACTGGAAGCTGAATCGCGTGCAGGCTGCTGATGCCGCTCCGCAGCCTGCAGGCGTCATCTGTCCGGCCATGTGATGCATTTGCTGCCGCGTGGCAGCTTTTTTATTCCCTGGCGCATAGAGGTTCTGATATCATTTAGATTTATTTTATCACCAAACCTGAATGAGAATAAATGCACTGAGATAATTTAAGGATTTCAGAACCAGGAGTGTGAACAACGACTGGTTCAGCACCACAACAGATGGACAGAGACACAAGGCGCCTAAAGAGGAAATATACAGCAAATGGTTTTCTGTTATTTCCAGATTAATCAACAGGGAAATTACCAAAGCCTTTTGTATTTTGCAGAGGTAAACAAATACAAAGAATTGCCCGACGGTAAAATAATGTGACATCCATTTTTTTATTTTATTCATTTTATTTTATTCTTATTAACTGCTCAAGCTGCAGCAAAGCCTGGATTAAATGCATAAATGATGGCGTCCTCTGTTTACCTCATTCAGCTTGTTCTTATAAGTGCACACCAACAGTAGGTTGTCTGTTGTTACTTTGGATATCTAATTTCTTTTTAAATTTCAGCCCACTAGATGCTCTTGATTCGACCCTGCCTGTTCAGTCGAGCATCATGTTCAAAATAAAGTCACGGTTGTCCAGGCCTCTATATCATCACTTAAATCTAACAAAATCATTAAACACTGAACTAATCAGAACACTCTTTTCAGCACAATCTTTTAAACTATAAAAATGCCATTTTTGGAAAATATCATTTTAAATGAATTATTTATTTAATTGTTTTTTCTATATGTTGAAGTCAAATATAAATGATGGGAACAAATCAAATATTTAGAAATAAATAGATTTAGATAGACTATAGGGATAATTCTGGTTTCTATCATAAGTTCTTGTTGTTAGCTTTTAGTTTTCTTTAAACATAAGAAGAATAGCACACCTGAGGGAAGGCTTTGCTGCTGTGTTATTCTGCTCTAATGTGCTTGACTCCCCGGGGAAAGGTTCGTTAGTCAGTGAAACTGAACAACAATCCTGTTTTCTGTTCTGATGCTGAGGTATGCTTAGGTTTTATGTGACAGTACCCATCCATCTAGAGAACCAGCAGGAACTCGGATCGCTCTAGGACAGGATGATCAGGGAGTAATACAGCTGTTTTAGGTTAGTTTTCCTCACTGATGTCTGCAAATAGACAGATAGATTAAAGTCTACCATCACTCGTGTACAACCAGCCATTTGGTGCAATGGAACAAGTATATGACACATTATATTTCAATTCAAATGTTGTGGTTTAATATAATGAAAAACAGTGCACTCTTCTCCTTTTCATTGTCTTTTTAGCAATACATGTTTTCCATTCAGATCTACCTGCACACAGCTCAGAACAACGAGCTCCTGGCTTTATGTTTCTTAAGTCTTTAATATGATTTAATGTGAAAGGCCTCCATGTCCATTACCACTGACTCTGGTCCAGATGTTCTCGCCTGTGCCCAGATCTGTTGTGCTGCTTTCTTCCAATAACACATTTTTGCAAAATAAGAAAAATGTAGTTGTTTCTAAAAGACTGTATGTGCAGCTACTGGTAATTTTACCAGTCATTCAGTCTCCTTTGGTCTTCTGAAGTCAGACTGAGATCCTCATCTGTGCCCCAGACAAGTGATTCTCACACCAAACCCTCTGTTGGGAATCTGGTGTGACCTTTGACCCAGCTCTCACCCTGCATTCTCATGTCAGTTCTCTTGTTCACTCTTCCTTCTTCCATCTCAGGAACATTGCTAAGTTGAGTCCCATTCTGTCCCACTCTGAACTCGAGACTGTTATCCACACCTTCATCTCCTCACGCTTAGACTACTGTAACTCTCTTTTCACGTGTCTGATGTAACGTTTTGTAAGTGGTTACTTTTAATAAATTGTCAATAATATATAAAGGTAATCAACACAATGTAGTATTCCATAAAATATGGATTATCAATTTATTTTTAATCTTTAATATACAATTGATGATGAAAGTAGTTAATTTGGGTATGCCAAGGAACCATCACTCATCAATAATTTGACACAGACAAAATAATGGTTTATAAAAATCTATTTATTACTATATTTCTTCGACTAATGGTCAATGATTACGAATGATTATTTATCTAATATCACTGAGACAATAATCAAACTTTAATGAAAGATGATCTAAGATGTTATTAAATGTCCAATTAAGTGTCTTAGATAAGAATGTAGAAAAGAAATAGCTGAAAAGTAACCATTCAGTTTGTATTTGTTGACAATGCATCCTTAAAATCGGACCCTTTGGATCCAACCGTTGTAAAGATTATTCCAGAAACAAATCATCTACAAAAAGTAGTGTATCTTGTTTTTGGAGAACTGAACAAAAACACAAAACTTTCTGACCTCTCAAAACTTTTAAAATAAAAATAAAAAAATATAGTAAGTTTATGTGTTCCAAGCTGTTGATGTGTTGCACTGAACTAATGATCCAGTCTCTGTTTGGAATAGAAACACAACATCTTTACATCTAAGGTTTTAGTCAGATGTTTAACACATATTTTGCCTGCTACTCTGTATTTATTACAGATGGACACAGTTCTCTGTCGTACCATAAGCCATAGTGTTTACCTCCATAGTTGAATGTTGATCACACCTTCCTACAAATCTTGATATTTTTGTAAACATTTGATGAAAATATTTTTGAAGATAAAGTAATAAATTCTTGTTTTTCTTAATTCCTGCTCTCTCTGTAGGAAGGAGCAGGAGCTGAACTCTCAAGATGCTATCATCCTCCATCAGTTCTCCAGACCAAAGAATGGCATCCCCAGTCTCTCCCCTTTCTGCCTCAAAATAGAGACGTACCTGCGCATGGCGGATCTGCCTTATCAGGTGACAACAGAGACAGTTGCTGAGGCCGTAACCCTGGGCTTCTGTGGGTGGTGTTTCTCAAGAGAGTAAAATATTTTTATCTGAGTCATATGTGAGTTTTAAATTTGAACCCTGCTGCTCTGTTGCCTCTTTTACACACACACACGCACGTGTGTGTGTGTGCGTGCGTGTGTGCGTGTGTGTGTGTGTGTGTGTGTGTGTGTGTGTGTTGTTGAATCGTAAACCAAAGTGAAGTTTTCACAATGTAGAAAGCTCCACAAATACAATTGGCACCAACAGTCTGAAACAGAGGAAATAAACAGTATCTAGTTTATTTCCATTGGATCCATCAAATAGTTGAACCTCGGATTCAGGAGACAATGGGATTTTCGTTCTGGCCATGGAATACTGGACCAACTCCAAACCCTTAGGGCGGGTCCTGGAGGGTGTGTGGAAGTTCACCCAACCAATCTACATGTGATTTGTGGATTTGGAGAAGGTGTTCAACCACGTCCCTTGTGGAGGGTTCTTCTGGAGTATGGGGTACCGGGCCCTCTGATACGGGCTGTTAGGTCCCTGTATTACCGGTGTCAGACCTTGGTCCGCACTGCCGGCAGTAAGTTGAGCTTGTTTCCAGTAAGAGTTGGACTCCGCCAAGGCTGCTCTTTGTCACTGATTCTGTCATAACTTATATGGACCGGATTTCTAGGCATAGCCAAGGTGGTGCTAGAGCTCTGCTTTTTTGTAAATTATGTGGTCCTGTTAGCTTCATCAGAATGGGATCTGTAGCTTTTGCTGGAGCGGTTCTCAGCAGAGTATGAAGCAGCTGGGATGAGAATCACCTCGTCTAAATCCGAAACCATGGTCTTGAGTCAGAAAAGAGTAGAGTGGTTCACTGAAAAAATATTTTTTTATGATTATTTCTGATTGTAATCTGTCACTCTTGAGTTTAACATGCAGGCTGAAGATGAAAATAGTCTCCTACACCCATCTCCTAGCTTCTGATAAAAAAATAGATGGTGAAACTCTAGGATTAGAAAAGCCTGACAGATCTACGTTCTCTTCCAGCTGATGTGTACCTTCTGAAACAAGCACATCTGAGCTTTTCCCCCAGAGTACGACTTACAAGGCATTCATTCCTACTAGAGCCCACTGCAAATGTATTAATTAAATGAGTGAACCAAATCTTTAAATTATCTCTCTCACAGATCAGCGCACCTAGCTATTCTTTCATTTGTTCTCATAAAACTTTGTATAAATTCATTCCATCTAATTTGTTTCAAATCTTTGAGTTCAAACCAAATTCAGTGCCAATGATTTTAATTAGCCCTCGTTTGAGCTTCCATTCAACAACAACAATAAACAACAAACAAGATGAGATGCCTGCCCAAGTGCGTTTGCAGCAGCTAAAGTTGCATCAAGCTGGGTGTGTTCTGCTTGGGTACAGTTATATTTGTTCATTTGAACCATTGGGGTCTTCTGGCAGAAATGGACCACATTATTCATATTTATGTTTTCTGTTACTTGTGAAAATGTGAAATATGTGTGTTTAGAGTGAGCTCCATCTGCACATGATTGAGTTCCCTCAGTTATAACTGTTAACCGCACCCAGAACAGCCAAACAGCAAATAAAATAAAATAAAATAAGCATATTTTATAGATAAGATACATTAAGCTCCTCCTGATCTCACAACTCTCTCTTCTCTACAGAACTACTTTGATGGGAGGCTGTCCCCGCAAGGAAAGATGCCGTGGATCGAGTACAATCACGAGCAGGTGTCAGGGTCAGAGTTTATTGTGGACTTTCTGGAGGAGAAGCTCGGGGTCAACCTAAACAAGAACTTAACCCCGGAGGAAAGAGCCGTGTCCCGAGCAGTCACCAAGATGGTCGAGGAGCACCTCTACTGGTAAGGAGCTTACACAGAGGCCCAGTCCCAGTCCTCGCACTCCCACCCTTGTGCCCTTCAAATCCCAGCCCGGGGTGCGAGTGTGTCCCAATTTTCAGTGTGGGAGGTGACCTTGCCATGTTTGCACCCTTGATCCACACTTTGCCCAAGTCCACATCAATGCAGACTTCGGGCAAGGGTATTACCCATGTAAAGAATGGGTCGTTTATATCTTACTTATGAACCATAAAATGTGAGTTTCCATAGAAATATGAAATATCAATCTGATGGATCTTTGAATATTTTAACCAGAAGATCGGAACTTTTTATTGCAGGGATTAAGTGACACTTCATATTAACTCCAAGGAAAGAAAGAGAGTCAGGTTTAAAGTAGTTAAGAAATTTATTTCTACACAATTTAAATAAGACTACACTCTGTGTACTGATGGAACTAAGGTGGAGTGAGACATGAAATGATGATGGTGTGTGTGTGGAATGTTATTCAGAACCAGCGGATCCGGAGAAGCAGTTAGTTCTGAGTGGGAGTGAATGTTTCGCTCTAAACTTTAGTAGGAGATTTATAACACACATGAAACGCCATCTGTCGGTCTATGTACCCAGGGGAAGCCTCCGTTAGATCCAGAATGTCGAGGTCCTCTTGGACCCTCCTTGGTACCGAAGCTGGTAGAAAAGCAGCGGTGCCGACCAAACTAGTCTTAGAATGTTTCCAGGTCACGACAGGTTATCACTGGCGTCTCCGAGACCCTGAAGGGGTCGTGAGGTTCAGCTTTTATTCTGAAGGAACCGTTGCGGTCAGGTGTACCTTGCAACAGATTTTATCCAGCTTATCGAGCTTCTATTAGCTGAAGAGGAAGTCCGGATGGCCTGTCCGAGACTTCTCTAGAATGCTTTGAACTGAAGAAAAGGTAGCGTGGAATAGTTTTTACAATTGTCATATTTTGGTTTACTGGCAAATCAGAATTTGACATGCAAAAGAGGGTTTATACAAACACCACAGATAACCACGCCCAGCCCCAGAAACGAAGGCTCTGATTGGTTCAGACAAAAGGAAATGTGTCGTGTGACTTTAGCATTACGTGTCATTAGTGTCTAGTGCAAAAGTCCAGGATTATAATAACTTATAAAATACTACTGATCACAGGATTATAATATCAAGTAATAACCTTGTCATTTCACAGATTGATTGAACATTGGGCTCACATTATTATTGGTAATTAACAAAGTTGTTGATTATGTATTTATCAAAATAGTTCTTCCTCTTCGCTGTAACAGAGGTGAAGCAGTTCAGATGAACAGAGTGCATGAAAGACCTTGGCCACTATCTAATGTAGATTAGGCTGTCAGAGACTTTAAGTCTCTGCTCGAGCAGACGCAGCAGATCATGACCTTTAGGTCAAAAACAGGACATTCATGACGCTACACCCACAATCCATTACTGCGTGGGAAACTTGAGATGAAGGCATCTCCTCTCAATCCTAAAGAAAAACTGTTACCTGGGTTCATATATATTCACCTTCAGTGTTGGGCAAGTTACTTCAAAACTGTAATGCATTATTTATTTCTTGTTACCCTGATTTTAAAGTAATTCATTACATTACAATATTACTGATTTTAAAATGTAAGGCATTACACTACTTTTGCATTACTTTAAGTTACTTTCACCGATACAACTTCAGTATGAATCTGGTAATGTGACGCTCAGTGAGCTCATGACATATATGTGGAAGGTGATGTGGTGTCTGAGCTAGGATTGCTGTTAAAAGCAGTCAGATATAATAACAGTGCTTTAAAATGATTGTTTATTAAATGAAAGCAACAACAATCTGTACTCTCAGCACGCTGCCATCTTATATTAACTGATCAGGGAGTGAGGTGGTGGGGGCTCCAAGCCTATATTTGCCTTGGTCCCCAAATGCCTTGATACGGCCCTGGATGTGGCACTGACTTCTGGGGTGATCTGATTCTGTCACATGTATAAATATTAAATGCTTATATATTATTGCTTTTCACTGGTAAAAATGTGTATTGGGGATAAATCTACCTACTTTTTTTCTTTTCAAGCACTTTGTTTTGTTTTCTTGATTTCATGTGAATAATTTCCTGCCCTTTCTCTCTCTAACCTTCCTGCATGCTGCATGTTTTCTCCGTCTTCCAGAAAAAAACTGTTTCCTAGACTTCCTACTTTCTAACGATCAGCCAAAGGGATCTTCACATGCGCGGCGCTCCAGCAGTAATGAGTTGAAATCACCGGGGCCCAGATTAACTCAGCTGAGGCAAAGCACGTCAGAAAAGCACAAAATACCAGAGAATATGCGCTGATATGAACGATCGCAAGTGAATTATTTTGTTTTAGTGGAGCGATTTTGTGAATGTTGCAGCGGCCGCGTGCAGGACGCAGCTGAGCCGTTACCGCTGCGTCCTCTCTGCCCGCAAAGCTGAGTCCATAAATGACGTCATCGTCGTCGTCGTCGTCTTCCTCCGCTTATCCGGGTCCGGGTCGCGGGGGCAGCATCCCAACTAGGGAGCTCCAGGCCGTCCTCTCCCCGGCCTTGTCCACCAGCTCCTCCGGCAGGACCCCAAGGCGTTCCCGGACCAGATTGGAGATGTAACCTCTCCAACGTGTCCTGGGTCGACCCGGGGGCCTTCTGCCGGCAGGACATGCCCGAAACACCTCCCCGGGGAGGCGTCCAGGAGGCATCCTGACCAGATGCCCAAACCACCTCAACTGGCTCCTTTCGATCCGGAGGAGCAGCGGTTCTACTCCGAGTCCCTCCCGAATGTCCGAGCTCCTCACCCTATCTCTAAGGCTGAGCCCGGCCACCCTACGGAGGAAACTCATTTCGGCCGCTTGTATCCGCGATCTCGTTCTTTCGGTCATTACCCAAAGCTCATGACCATAGGTGAGGATTGGGACGTAGATCGACCGGTAGATCGAGAGCCTGGCTTTCTGGCTCAGCTCCCTCTTCACCACGACAGATCGGCTCAGCGTCCGCATCACTGCAGACGCCGAACCAATCCGCCTGTCGATCTCCCGATCCCTCCTACCCTCACTCGTGAACAAGACCCCGAGATACTTAAACTCCTCCACTTGAGGTAGGACCTCTCCCCCGACCCGGAGGTGGCAAGCCACCCTTTTCCGGTCGAGAACCATGGTCTCAGATTTGGAGGTGCTGATCCTCATCCCAGCCGCTTCACATTCGGCCGCGAACCTACCCAGCAAGAGCTGAAGGTGAGAGCTGGATGAAGCTAGGAGGACCACATCATCCGCAAAAAGCAGAGACGAGATTCTCCTGCCACCAAACTCGACACACTCCACACCACGGCTGCGTCTAGAAATTCTGTCCATAAAAGTGATGAACAGAACCGGTGACAAAGGGCAGCCCTGGCGGAGTCCAACCCTCACTGGGAACAGGTCCGACTTACTACCGGCTATGCGGACCAAACTCACGCTCCTCTGGTAAAGGGACTGAATGGCCCTTAACAGAAAGCCACCCACCCCATACTCCTGGAGCGTAAATGACGTCATATATGCAGATACTGGATCTTTCTTCGGGTATGTATGTATATATATATATATATATATATATATATATATATATATATATATATATATATATATATATATATATGTATATACATATATATATATATATATATATGTATATATATATATATATATATATATATATATATGTATATATATATGTGTGTGTGTGTGTGTGTGTGTGTGTGTGTATATATATATATATACATGTGTATATATATTAAATCAGGAGAGGTCATTTAGTAACCCACACTTTCCATTACTCCCTCTCTTCTCTCCTTCCTCTGGTGCAGCATCCATCCTGTCATATTTAGACCAACATTCATGTCTGTTGACTGAATTATTTATGAAGGGCACCAGCTGGTTGCTCTTTGAGTGATGAGATAAATGCAAGAATCTATGCCTTAAGACCATCCACAGATTTTTATTTCTTAGGGAGGAAGCTGTCACCAGCTGCTTCCTGACTACGTTATGATCCACTGCTCTTTGGACTACTGTTGTAAAGATTTAAGCTTGTCATTAAGAGGTTTTTGAAACCAGAATTGGAAGATCTGACTTTAAACCAGTGAACATGTTGTAAGTTCACTGATGGCAGCTGTTTGTACCCGTCACTCTTCATTAGTCATGCATAGTTTTAAGGGGGTGGAGGACCGAGGACAGGAGAACGCGCAGCTAATTAAATAAATAATTTGGTTCTGTACCTTTCTCTTCAGCACAGCCGACAAAGGTTTATGATGGGTCAGTCCTCCTGCATGCTCAGATCATTCCCTTCCCTTGCTTGAAAAATAGTTCCAAAATGAAAGTTGAACACACATCTTTTTTATCTGTGAATTCAATGCCGTTTGGTGAGTCTCAAATAAAACTTTGGGCATCTTACTGTAAAAAAATATACCATTAATGTAAAAAAGAAACTAAATAAACTATGGTCACACCCAGAATCAAACCCAGGTCTTCTGCATGGGAGTCAGAGACCTTACAAGGTGAGCTACACACCAGTAACAATCATAGTATCTGTAACTTTTATATCCTTGATGATGACACCTGAAACAACGCCAAACCAAATAACGGTTCGAAGCGAACATGGCTATTTTGTTGCTAATTTGCAGGAAATATCTAGAAGAAAGTTATATAGAAAGTAGCTAAGGCTCCTCAGAAATGTAGCTAGGTTCATCACTAGTCGGTAGGAACAGCGACAAAGTCGCTGAGTTGGCACTACCTCTCTCTTTGCTGCTAAAGCTACTGATAGCAAATGCTACGGGCTATGCCTGAGCATGAACACGCATGAAGCAGCCTGCTCGACCCGAGCAGCTCTCTTTTTCTGTTATTTTACAGAAAAACAGGCAATCACAGTAAAAATGCCAGGGCTCATTCTACAGGACCAGGGCATTGCAGGAGAATGGATGAAGAAGAAATGTATTATTTCTATACATGTTTTGGCTGTCAAACTTCCATAACGTCCCTTTAACTCCAATCCCATTAAAAAAAAAATTTTTTTTGTCCAAAACTCTTAAAATATCAATAAGTGTTTTATCTGACTGAATCCTCCTGACTTCTTGTAATTCTCTGTACTGCCCTTGTGCTGCCTTCCTGGACCAGGTCTCTCTTTGACAGGAGATTTGATATCTTGATGATTTCTTTTCTTGGTTAAATAAAGGAATATATGTGTGGATAAAAGTAGTGTAAAATATGTAAAGGCATGTGTTTCTTTGCCATTGAGCAATTTTTAATCTGACATAGCTCATTTTTAGAACTCTAAACCTCTCCTATAAACATTCATAATTTGTTTAAGCTACATTTTTGGCTCTAGAATAAACAGACTTGAAATCAGGCACAGACCCTGTCTTAGAGGAAATCAGGTCATCTAACATATGGTGGTGTGTGGTCATCCCTCCTAGATGTCATAAAGTCTAGATGCTGTTATTCAGTTTCCATTGTGGCCAGTCATACTCAGCAAATCACAGGCCAGTTGGCTGGTCATAGGCTGTTTTTCAGTCCCATCACAGATTATGGGATGCCAGGCTTCACAGCTTTTCAATGAAGTGTGAGGAGAAAGATCACAACATAACAATAACTGATAAAACAAAACAGCAATAGAGCTAACACATTAATATTAGTGTAGATACCAAGTTACTTTGTTGATTAACGCCTAACTAAAACTATTGTTTTTAGGTTTAAATCTCGTCACACATGTAGATTCATGTTTCCACTAACATGAACTATTGACTCGAGTGGATTACAGGAAGCTGACTGGATGACGTGTGCTGAGAGCAGACACAGGAGTAGTGATGGTGCACTTTTATTGACTAGACTCAATTAGACAAAGATTCTCATGTAACACAGCACTGGTCTGGGCTCTGTAGTAAATATTTCATTAAACAGACAAGGATTACATCTTAAAGTAATGGAAAGTGGAAAAATCTGTAATTTTTTAAGTTAAATATACTAGAAGAGTCAATGTTGTGTTTGGTGAGGATATGACTCTGGTCTTAAAAGTAACTTTTTTCAGTTTTAAATATACTGAATAAAAATAAGTAAATGACATGTAGCAACCTTGTGAGCTACAGTATGTCCTCGTCTGCACTTTGAGTTCTTTTTAATTAGCCATTAATATGCTGCATTAAGGGTCATGTAAATTTTAGTGTTTTTGTCCAGAGACTCTTGGACTTGTTGACCTGTGAGGTCAGGGATGGAACCAGCAACCCTTTGTGTACATTTGTTTAAAGGTGTGCTAATTACTCAAGAGCCAAGACACTTACTGATAGACATTTATTCAGAATATTAAAGGCTAGTTTGTTTTGAGTTCAAAATCAAACAACTTTCCTATCAGGGACATTTCTCCCTGTTTAAAAGGTTCTGTAGGGAGAAGATGCTACTGCCAGGTTTAACTGAGAGAAATGATGAAGCTGTTAAACAAATGTCTTCCTGTCAGCCATTATCTGAACCACTTATTCCTCAGTAGGGTCATGGGCAGCTGCTGAAATTGGGCAAGAGGTGGGGGACACCTGGGCTGGTGTCCAGTTCATCACAGAGAAATACAACCAGTCACACACGCTCACGACTCCAGTCTACCTAACGTGCATGTTTTTGGTCTGTGGGAGGAAACCGGAGCACCTGGAGGACATGCCGACTCCATGCAGACTGGCTACAGTGGAGATTGAACTGCAGCAGATCCTGTGATCATGTAGATCTTAATTTGGTTAAATTATGAAAATAAAATTAATGCAGTTTAACCCTCTTTGGTTCTGGTTTAAATGGCAGCCTTAAGCGATCAGTGAAGACCTTTGTGCCAGAGCAATGTGTGATAACATCTAGATGCCTTTAATTTGTCTTTCTCAGGACAATAGCCTACTGCCAGTGGGTGGACAATGTAGATGAAACCCAGAAGTTGCTGGCCATGGATGGACCATTGAGCGACACCCTGAAGTGGCTTCTGAGCCACCTGAATGGCAGCATGGTGCGCAGAGAGATGTATGGCCATGGCATCGGACGCTTCTCTAAAGAGGAGGTCTACAAGCTGATGGAGAAGGACATGAGGACTCTGGCTACTCTGCTGGGTAGGAAAATGGATTTTAGGGATTCAAACCACCAACTTTATATGAACTGATTGCTCAGTTCTTTTAAATATATTTTTCTTTAACTAAAGATAATGAAATGCCACTGTAGGACAGAATTTTTCTGTATTAAGGTGACAGGTCATTTGCTGCTGTGGTTCCCAGACTCTGGAGCTCTTTCCCCCTGAGCCTGAGGTCAGTGGACTCAGTGGTCTCCTTTAAAAAGCAGCTGAAACTCACCTGTTCGGGCTGGCTTCATCGCCACCCTCTCCTTATTCTGCTCTTTCTACCTATTTCACTTTTCCGGGATCCACCAATTTTCCTCTTTCTTATTCATTTTCTCACTTCTTTTCCGTACATTTTTAATCACATTTATTTTAGTCATTTTAAAGATATTTTCAAATCTTTTTATATTTTACAGTTTTTGTGAAGTGCTTCGTAATTTTTATCTTGAGAGGCGCCATATAAAAGATCGTCTGGGTCTGCACTTTCAGGAGAGCGTTTCTATTGCAGTTTGAGCTCATGCCTGGGTTCAGTACCGTCATGCGGGATTTCATAAATAAGTTGTGCAACTATTCAGTGTTTTTGTGCTGCAATGAATTGTCTGCAGAGCGAAACACAAAAAATAAATGCTTACCAACAGGCTCCACAAGTGGCTGCAGAGTGCAGTCTCTGAATCCAGGCCTGCCTCGGTTTGCCGATCTGTGGTCATAAATGGCATCCAGCATGCCGCAGCACCTCCATGTATTTCTCCTATTTCCACTCCGGCTGTTTCTGTCCTTAACTTTTCTATTGGGCTATAATTTCTTCAGCTGACCTGACATCGTTCCGATGTCCTCTCAAATCCTTTGGCTCCTTTCTGCTGAGATACTTCTTGAATTCCTGGACAGGAGAGGAATGTATGGAGCTATGAAGCTGACCAAACTTGCTGCTACTTGCTGCCATTTTCTCACATTCATGTACAACCAATGAAAATATCAACAGAACTCTGAGGATTGCTTTGCTTGTTGCAAATTAGTGACGTATGTCTTTCCCCCAAACTGTGTCGTTGCTCCGCCCCAACCGTACTGCTCCACAAAGTTCTGGACCTACAGTAGAAGGGGGCCAAAAAAGTCCTGTTACTGGTGTGCTCCAGGTCGGTTGTGTGGACCGGTTTTACAATAGGGATAGGAAAACTGTTCTGTGCCAGTTTTGGCGGTGGAACCGAGCTAGCCATCCTAGTCCTGTCAGGCTGAAGATGAGATAAATCAGTGGTAAAATAAGTAAGGCACTCTAAAGTACACAGAACAACACTTAAAAAACTAGATGCCAAAAAGGAGGAGAATTTTTATTCCTGTAGAAACTAGTAGTCGTGGTACATTTCACAGAGTTACTGAGTACATAAAATATGATCTAATAGTTCCACTGATGTGTAGAAATATCTTCATTCTTGTGTTTAGGTGGAAAACAACTTTCTCTACAAAACTATAAACTGTTTTAGCTGAAAACACGGTGTTCAACCTTCACCCTGTCATGAGTTATGACATCCACAGTCAGGATATTTTTCCCAAGTTTTTTAAATCTAAATGTTTACATTTATTTTTACATAAACCTTTTAAAGAACCTTTCAAATGTCTTCTCGGGTGGACCACATGCATCCTGACTGTAAACTCTGCATTTATAACTAAACTTTTTATTATATTTTTTTTTTTTTACTCACTCACCCTCTAAACAACTTACAGTCATCTGGGTAGAGGCAGGGGACACCTTGGACAGGTCTCCAGTCCACCACAGGGACACATTAAAGGAGTGGTTGACTCGTTTAATCAGTACATTTGCTGTAGTCTCTAGTAGGAATGAAGGCCTTAGAAGTCATTCCTAGGGAGATGGGTGGGGGGTGGGGGGGGGGGGGGGTGTACCATGTCTCTGACCTTAAAGTTGTCCACATCACAGCTGAGCTTCAGAGAGCATCAGTTTTTCAGTCAAGTACACCTTTAATGAAAACAACCAATCACACACTCACTCACATCCAGGGACAATTTAGAGTCTCTGGCCAACCTAACATGCATGTTTTTAGTCTGTGGGAAGAAACCAGAGCATCTGCAGAAAACCCACACATGCATGGGAAGAACACGCTAACTCCACGCAGAAAGGCAGCAGCTACGATTTGAACACACAACCCAGTCGCTTGGATGCAGCAATGCTGCAAACTGCAGCACCATGTGGGACAGCAGTAGCTCAGGAGGTAGAGCGGGGTGACCAGTATTCGGAAGGTTGCAGGTTCGACCCCGGCTCCCACCAGAGAATGCTTCTTGGGCAAGACACTTAACCGGCTTGCTGGTGGTGATCGGGGGGGCTGGTGGTGTCAGTCTATGGCATGCCTCGCCTCTGTCAGTGCACCCCAGGGCAGCTGTGGCTACACCATAGCTCATCCCCACCTATGTGTGAATGTGTGTGTGAATGGGTGATTGACGGATTGTGTTGTGAAGCACCTTGGGGGTTGTAAAACCCTAAGAAGGAGCTATACAAATACAGTCTATTTACCATGCAGCAGTTTTATTTTATTTTTTCATTTCTTCAGTTTTTAGATTTTGAACTGTTTGCCCACCCCTTTCTAGCGGTCTCTTTGGCTTTACATTGTCATAACTTGCTGTGTGTTGAAAGTTTGTATCATGATCTTTTCTTTGTCATCCAGGTGATAAGAAATACTTCATGGGCTCTAAGATGTCAACGTTGGACGCTACAGTGTTTGGCCACCTGGCTCAGGCTATGTGGACTCTACCTGGGACACGACCAGAACAGCTCATCAAAGGTCAGCATCTGATGATCAGGACTCAAACATTTACACGTTTCATTCCTAAGATTAGACACTTTTTCAAACATTGTTTTCACTTTTAGTTTGCATTCACTCCTTTTTGGCTTAATAGGCCATAATCTCATTAGTGGCAGCTGGTGAATTTTAGTTTTTGGTGGGGTGCATTTTTGCAAGTCAGTTTTACAGATGCGCTAACCACCAGTAGGACATGCCAAATGACCATTTTAATGTATCACATAACTTGAACCCAATGGATCGGTATCAGGTCCACGAGCACTTCCAGCAACAAAGCTGTTCCAACAGCGTGCTTAATATTCACCAACATATGCAAACTGCACACATACTTAACAGGAAGAGGCTCGTCTAAACTATAGAAACCAGGGGCCTCATTTATAAGCTTGCTTACGCACAAAACAGGGTCGGAAAACTGCGTAAGCTACTTTCAACGCAAACATTGGGATTTATAAAAGAAAACGTTGCGGAAAAATGTGCACAACTTTAAGCTGAGTAAGGACCTGGCTTACGCACATTTTGGACATGGAAAGCACCTGCGGTGCTGCTGGATTTTCTCTTATTTGTTTTGCAAAAGCACTTCCTTTCATTATTCCACCTCACGCACAAGTACCTCAATTTCTGCTTCGTTGAAATAGTGCTTCCTTGATCTGCGGTCATGAGCGAAAAGCTGAAACTAGCTGGCTTATGTATATGCACGAGATCCACAAGGCACTTTGCATTGACCATTTATGGCAGAAAGTGGGCGTGTTGAGGGCGGGATGCGACTAAAAAGCAGCTGAGAACCTTTCTTGTTAGTCTCTGATTTATAAAGCAGACAATGCGTGCAGCTGTGCGTACTCCATGTTTTATAGATCACAAACCTACTTGGTGTAGTAAATATTTTTTTGCTAAACTTAAGTACGGTTTTAGTAAGGATTCTACACGATGTTTTATAAATGAGACCTCAGGTTTTCTACCAAAACAACACCCAATGACAATACGCCGCTAAATGAAAAGCAAAACAAAGCTAATTTCATTGAGTCAAAAGCGTACATTCAGTCTTACCTTTGCTGGTTTATGGTCATAATATTCTGTGGTGTAGTAAAAAAAAAATCCACTCGGATTGTGTAATCCAATGTCCCAACGTCACACTGAGCTGATTCCAGACTGGCTTTTTTTTTTTTTTACCTGCTGGAGAGTGTTTACAAATTTCCAACACCACATTCATAATCTTCCAGTTCTCCATAATAAAAAAAAACTCCAAGAGGTGTACTCAGCTGCTCTACAAACAACATTCATTTAAAAAAACAGAACGGTGAACTGTGGGCAGCTTCCAGTTCTGGGTGAACATCCTGAGCTGAGCTGAAACTCCACCCGGTTTCAGTCTCAGACCTCTGCATCCAAAAGGCTCTCCTATTCTTTGTTTTGGATCAAGGGGGATCCAGCAAGCATGCTCCAGTTAGTGTAGGTCTACGGTAGAGATCGCTGCACCCAAAAAAAAACAGGAAATACATCACAAGACAGTTCCGTCATTGTAAAAGTGTGAGAGGACATCTTTAAACTTCACTTAAATGCAGATTATACACAGCACTTATAGTCTGTACGATGCGTAGATCATTTAGTTTATTTTCATGTTTTAAATATATTTTGTGATTCCCATCTTCTTCCTTTTCCTTTGAGTCTGGTGGGGCGGCATCCTAGCGCCCCCTATGGACGAGCTGCCACTGGATCTAATTAAAAAAGTGAAATAGAACCGATTCAGATAGTTAGACATCAATGATATTTGCATTTTGTTCTACAAATGTTTAATTTGCAAGTGAAAGTAATTCTAGGGGTCGTCATCTTGGCTCCTTTTGAGGCCCAACCAGCAATAAAACACTCTTCAGTCAGTGGCTTCATTAGAGTGAAATGAGTAAATAATGAATGTTTCTATCGCATGTGTTTGATGTTAGAGTGGTTCTCATACAATACAAAACCTTCTCAAACATCAGTGATCCTCAGGTTAGGGTCTGAGGAACGTCCGACAGCAAACGTAAACGCGTCGTTTTCCTGGGACTAAAATCACAAAATGAATGCTACATTTAATTGTAAAAGATGGCTAATGCCAGTAATTATTAGAGGTTTCGTAAGTTATATGTAGATATTAAAACAGCCACTAGATGGCAGTAAAGCTTTACATTAGTACATTGATTGACCAGCTGGGTGTCATTTGAAGAGGGTCTCTTATCTTATCTGACAACAGATTCATCGTTTATGACATCCAAGGAAAGGAGTGGGTGTTTTATTTAATATCCGAATATCCAACTGCTCTTTAATTGTGACTGCAATAGACTCCCTGTTCTTTTAGCTGTGTCTTTAATAGCTGCTGGGACTGATGTCTTCACAGGAGAGCTGATCAATCTGGCCATGTTCTGTGAGCGGATGCGGAGAAGATTCTGGCCCGAGTGGTTTGTGGAGGTGGAGGATCTTAACTATGATGGAGACAGTGAGAGCAGCAGCAGCAGCAGCATCCCTGCAGGGCTGCTGGACTTCGGTCTGTTCTCCAGGACTGACACTCTAGATGACAGCGACACCAGCAGCCACTCAGCCAGACACACACGCACACACTCCCCCGACTCGGACCGCTCACTCTTTGACTCAGACGTGGGCACTGGGTCAGAGAATGACATTCACCTTAAAGAGGAGCTGATTCCAGACTTAAAGGTCTGACGTGTGTCTGGCTGGCAGGAAAAGACTGTAACAGGCAGGCAGCTGTGTTGCTTCACAAAATCAGTCTGGAACAACCTGTTTGGACAACTCTTCACACAGCTGAAGAAACTGTTCCAGTTCCTCCTGTTACAAATCCCAGGTTGCCCCAGCTTCCCGACATACAGCCTGGGTGTTTAAAGGCAGAGGAAGCAAACTGAACCTCATAATAACATACATACGGTATGGTTTGTCCCTCTTGTATTATCAGAACTGTCTCCTTGACAGTTCCTCTTTGCCTTATTTGTCTCGTCCTCCGATACAGAAGTTGCTGTGAAAAGTTAACATGAGCCGATCGTCTGATTTCATTAAGTAAAGGCTGCAAAACAGAAACGGCATAACAGACAAGACAGGTGGCTCTTCACTTGCTATGAAATGATGCAACTAATCACCACTCTGCCATGTGTCATAACGCATAAATCCATTCAAACAGGGGGAGGCTGCAAAGGAACAGCTGTTGTGCCTCCGCTGTTTACCATGCGTGATGCTGAATAGTAAACACAGATAACTTCCATGTCACCTCGTGTCCTGCTTTGATCCTCGTGTTGTTTCCTTCATGCTTCTGTGTGTTGGAGATGTCGGCATCGAGAGCAGGCGAAGGATTTCATCATTTCAAAACCAAATCAACACACAGCTCTGTTGATTGGAGAACTTGAGGCATTATGAACAGATTTGCCTGTGTTAAACTCACCATTTTGACTTATCTCATGTACTTTCAGTTTGTTATCATTGAGCTCAGACTTTATAATTTCAGCACAGCTATGCTGCTTTTTAAGTGCTGCACTTCTTATATTTGGCCACTAGATGGAGGTGTCAGACAGCATGGTGTTCTGTAACAAGGAGCTTATTCCAGCAGGTGTGCTTCATTTGACTCCCTAGAGCTGTTTTCTTTCTGACATTGCAGACCTTGCAGTTCATGAAGGTGTTTTGTGCAGGCGCATGCATAACTGCATACCTACAACCAAGCACAGAAACAGATCAGCCTCTTGGTCTCAATTACACAGTTTTTGTTCTCATATGCATTATAATGATAAATGAGCCGCACTTGTATAGCGCCTCTCAGAGTAAGGACTCCAAAGCGCTTTACACTACAGTGTATCATTCATCCATTCACACACACACACATTCACACACTGATGGTGATGAGCTACGACAATGTAGCCACAGCCGCCCTTGGGCACACTGACAAAGGCGATAATCAGTGCCATGTGTTTATTGTTACTTATTTATGTGTTAAAAATTCTATTTTTGTTAATCTTTGTTTTCTTATTGCTCTCAAAGAGAGATGTTTACTTTGCACTAGTGGAAATTTATTTTCACCTCATGTCGAAAGCAGAGGTCTGCTCTGAAAACAAAGAGATGGACACAGATGGTCACTAAGGGTTACTGTAGGGATGAATAATCCACTGTGTTGGTTGTCTGTGTGAATGCTGTCAATGAGGCTGGGTCAGATTAACACCTTATGATAGGTAGACGAGAAACATGGAGTAAAAACTTGGACCAAAACTTTCTGAACAACTGTCACTTTTCATTTGTTGTTCATAATAAAAATATATGACTATGTTGTATTAGAGTAGATGTTAGTAGCTTAAATAGCAGATCATGCTAGTGACTGAATGCCTTTCTTACATCATCTTCAGCAGAGGTGAGTGGAATTTTATTTGTCTTGTACAAAAATTAATCAACTTCATCTTATTGAGTTTCTGCTGTTGAGAATTATTCAGAAGCACTCATCAGAAGGTAGAAATATCCTCATCAAATCTCATCAAATCTGCTAACTGTTGTCTCATTTGAAGGTGAACTGTGAACAGAACCTTTAGCATGTTTTGGATCAATGTGCTGTTGCATTGCTTTGATTGTTTATTTATTTATTTTTTGTTCCATTTAGTTTTTTATTTCTGCCACACACAGAGTGTTGTGTTTTGATTCAGTCGTGATGCTTTGATCACCATCATTCCCAGAAGCAGCAGGCTGCTTCCTACAGGGGAACAAAATAGTCTGTGTACACCAACAGTTTAGAAGCAAATGACTCAGATGCAGTAAACGTACACAACCAAGTTGCATTTTTCAGGTTAGATAAAATTCCGTTCACCTCCCTTTTTGAGGTTAACGCATCAGTCTCAAAGGATAGGAGGAAACCCTAAATGAGCTGCATGTTTCTGTTCCATTGGAGGTAATCGAGTGTTTTGATCCAGATACGTGGGTTCAATAGGAAGAAGGTCTGCTCCGTCGTGTTGTCCTTGAGGTTTCATTCAGCCTGACCACAACAGTTCTAGTTCAGTCAAGCCATATTAATGCTAGAAATGATGTTACTGGGGCCATTCCCGCTGGTGTGATGTAAATATAGTGAGACGACATGTGTACCATACTGTATCTAAATCTGACTGATCAAACTACCTGTGTCTGTGCTTTCATTTGAGGAGGAACGATGGGATGGGCTCAATAAACAATAGCTGTGACAATTTTATACTGTTTGAGTTTCCTTTGCAGAGTAACAAGGTTTTGTTGTGATGATGGGGTGTTTGGTGGGGGTTGAGACTGCCAGAGACGACTAAGGATGCAGAAACTGAGGGTGGAATGAGATGACTGTTCTCCAGAAACAATATACCAGAAGGAAATAAAGAAAAGAGGGGATGATGCGAGGAGCAGGTGGTTGAGAGGGGAAAAGCTATGTGGAAGAGGAAAGTGGAAAGGAAATGAAGACATGAGTAAAAAGGAAGGAATAGAATAAAGAATGAAAAAAATCATTTGCAGTGGAGAGATATAAAGGGGAAAGTGGAGGGGATGAGGTGGCTGGGTTAAGGGCCCGAGGAGGAGAAGCACGCAGGCCACGGATCAGGAACCAGGCTCCCAGGGGACGGAGCAGGTGCAGGCTGCAAGCGTGGCCTTTGGGCCTGATGGAGCAGCCAGAGCTTAAAACAATCTGCACTGCTCCTTTTTAATTTGGCTCTGTGAACAGCCCACCCTCCTCTCTCACTGCCTCTCCTTCTCTCTATGCTTAACAGATCAGCGATCCACAAAGAGGGGTAAACACACACAGAGCAAAATTAAAATCCAAACTCCCCTGGCACAGCAAAACAAATTAGAGCAAACAAATTACAGAGAGTCAACACAAACAGGGAAGCATCTGTGGCTCTCTGGACTGCTGGAGCCGGTGGCTGCTTCCCACACCACCACCCTACTGCTCATGTTCACAGCAGATCCTGAATCAGCCCTGTGTCATCCTCTGTCGCTGCTCTAAAACGATGTTTTTGGAAGGGTTTTTTCTCGCATGTTTTCAGGCGTCTGTGGAGAGTTTACCACACATGTTGAGCATCAATGTGTGCCAGTAAATATATGTAAACTTCTCTCATCCCATATACCGATTAAATGTAACACCTGCTTTCTCTTTCATCCTGCCGCTCATCTTCACTCACATCTTCATCTTCTCTGTATGAGCAAACAAATCTGGATGCAGCAGCAGCGCCACAATTCAATTTAGCAACATAATCAGTAAATCAGCGGCACCGCTGGAAAACGATTTCAAAGGGTAGCTAGATAGTAGCCATAAATTCTTTTATTAATTTGTTGTAAGCATCTTGCTAGTTCCAGGCTGGACCCACATTATTCTTCAGAACTAATTCATCTCATAGATTCAACGATGTGTTTTAAATGTTTCTCAGAGGTTCTGGTCCATACTGACATGACAGCATCAGCTTCATCCATGATGGGAATCTCCTGTTCCACCACATCTCTAAGTTTCTGAGCTGGACTCAGATCTGGTGACTGTGGAGGTTGTTGGAGTCCAGTGAACTCATGGTCATGTTCTACAAACCACTTAGAGATGATCTGAGCTTAGTGAAATGATGCTTTATCATCAGAAGATTGGTTCATGTGGTCAAAAGGGGATGGACATGGTCAGCAACAATGCTCAGGCTCAGGTGGTGCTAGGGGGTCCAAAGTGGGACAAGAAAATCTCACGCCATCATCCCTCACCAGCAGAAACCTGAAGCGTTGATACAAGGCGGGATGGATCCATGATTCTCATGGATGATAACCGATGATGGCATCCATTCAATGGGATAATTGCATTCAAAGCGGGTGTTCACGTTAGTGACACCTAATTCTGACCTGACCATCTGGATGTTCAAGACTCATCAGACTAGCTCTTAGCCGACAGGAGAGACACCTGGTGTGGTCTTCTGCTGCTGGAGTCCATCAGTTTCGTGGTCCATCGTGATGTGGTTCAGAGGTGCTGTTCTACAGACCTTGGTAAAAACCAGTGGTTATTAGAGTTGCTGTTGTCTTTCTATCATCTAGAACCAGTCGGACCAGTCTGCTCTGACCTCAACAAGACATTTTAACCACACATCTGCTGCTCACTGGAGATTCTCTGGAAACCTTGGAGATGTTTGAAAATGAAAATCCCAAGTAGGCTCTGAAAACCCAGATCAGCTCATTTGGTAAAATATCGCTCAACCGTCTTTAACCAATATCATAAGGACAAAAATGAAAACATCTGCCAGCAAGACACTTCTCTTGTAAAAGTTTGATAACTATAGTTGCTCATTGTTGAAAAAACCATAAAAATATTTTTTTGTGTGAGCACACAGTAGTGTGTTTTTGTGTGTATTTGTTTTAGTTTGAACTCAGTTAGCGCTCCCCCATGGTGCCGTAGACCCCGTGGCCCTCTGGCAGTAGCAGTGGCCTGTCCATCTGCCTCCTACTGCCTGGGTCAGGTGGGACAAAGGGCCGTGGAAGACCTCCTCCAAACTGAATACCATCAAAGCCCCAGGCCAGCTGTTCAGACCCCAAATCTGCCCATCACTGCCAGTTGGGCCCCATGACATGCAGCAGGACTTGTTCTCGTGCACAAATCTCACAATAGCAGCACATATGCTCAATAGGCCTATTTACAAATGAAGGCATTGCAACACACACATGGGTGGCCCAGATGAAAACAGACACACACTGGTGTGTGCCAGCTCATGTATACAAACAATCCCTTCTCAGGCTCAGGTGTGTCCCTCAGCTCCCTATAATAGCCTGAGTTCACAGGGGTGGGACACCAACAGGTGGTGCTGTTTTCTGTACTAATTATAGCTTTATTCATTCATTGGCAAGTGGAAGCTTCCAGATGACTTTGGCTGGCCTCCTCTTTCACACAACAAAAGCCTCTGTGTGTGTGTGTATGTGTGCGTGCGTGCGTGCGTGCGTGCGCGTGTGTGTGTGTGTGTGTGTGTGTGTGTGTGTGTGTGTGTGTGTGTGTGTGTGTGTGTTTGTGTGTACAGGTCTAGGACAGGACATCAGTAGCAAAGGGAGGACATTTTGCTGATCCTCACTTTGGGATAATGTTACAGAGCTTGACTGGTTAGTGTAAATGAAGATTTAGTTAAGGTTAGGGTAAGAAGCCGACGGGTTTAGAGTTAGTGTTAGGGTTAGGCTAAATTCAGTCACTATAATGTATGTAAGTCAATGATGGTCCTCACAGCGAATGCTACACTAGAGAGAGAGAGCGAGAGAGAGAGAGAGCGAGAGAGAGAGAGAGAAAGAGAGTTTGTGTGAGACAGAGAGAGAGAGAGTGTGTGTGTGTGTGTGTGTGTGTGTGTGTGTGTGTGTGTGTGTGTGTGTGTGTGTGTGTGTGTGTGTGTGTGTGTGTGTGTGTGTGTGTGTGTGTTGTTGTGTGTGTGTGTGTGTGTGTGTGTGTGTGTGATTACGTTCGTGCATGTGTGTGAAATATATGTGAAAATATATTTGTATCATCAGCAAACAATATGAACTGTACAATATCATTAATATACAAAGTAAAAAGCTAAAGACCCAACACTGAACCCTGTGGGACACCATACGTAATCAATTGAAAGTTTGCTATTTGATCTTCTAACTGCATAAATTGATTTATTTTACTCAAATAGCTACTTAACCAATCACAAGCTACCCCTCTTATCCCGTAATCCTTCAATTTAGAAAGTCACAAACTATGAGCTCTACTTGATAACATTTAAATTCGTTGGGTGTGGTAACATGCTCACACGTTATTAAAGTCAAAATAACTTGAAGTTATGAGACAAAAGTCCAGAATTATAACTATAAGATTTATGGCCACTGTTTTTCTTTATTAGTTATTATGTTTTGAGTTGCTGCTTTTGCTGATCTCAGCTGTTATTCTGTGGTCAAAACGAATAAATGACCACTGAAAGTTTAATGTTGGGTGGATTTACACATCTTTAAAATCTTTTTTGACTCTCACTGTGTGAAACGTTCTGTAACTTTTCCAGACTCCCGAAGATGAACTGACTGGTGTGTTTCTGTTTTTTCTTGTGTTGAAGCTCAGAGTCAGAGACTCACAATTCCCCTTCTGTCATCCCATTATCCATCTTCCCTCTGCACCTCTTCTCCGTCCTCCCTTTTCCTCCTTTGCCCTCCTCTGGATGTTATCTCCATCGCTTATGCCCTAACACCCCAATTGTTGTGCTATGAAAACAATAATTAGCAATCCCGAATGAGATAAGCAGCGGACTGAACAGCTTCTTCTGATTTTTTTCCCCTTTCCCTCTTTATCTTGCTCTCTCTTTTTCATGAGAGCAAATGGAGGTGGAGGGGATATTCAGGGGAGGTGTTGGCAAAGCCTCTTTAAACTCTGTGGTATTACGGAGGATTATTTAGTGCTGAATCCTGGCTTGTGAGGCTGTTTTTTTCATCCCTTTCTCTCTCTGGCTGTGGCAGACACCCTAGGTAAACAGTTAGTTTCACACTTGATTGCGTTTGAGAAATTAAAAAACAGGAATCACAATAGGCCGGGGCTGGGGGATGAGGACGAAGGAACACTGACACCATAAGACCCCGGCTCTTCAGGGACTCCTGGTACGCCACGCTGCAGCGCGGCCGCCACAAACACAACAATACACACCCTTGTCCTTCAGAGAACACACCTTCCTCTCAGAGTCTATCTGCACTAACCCATCTGCTCTGCTCCTTCTCCTTCTGCATCCTTCAGATTGTTTGAGTTTAACTAAAGTGTTTACAAACACAAACAACCTGACAATTTCTAGTTTTCCCCCAGATGTATCTCCCCTGTGTCTGTACACACATACGTAAACATCAGTGTGTCATCTCAGCATGAAGTAGATTTTCAGTTGGATAAGAATAGCTCAGATCAGAAGTTTTTGCTGGAAAATCCCTTTTCTGTTTTCATATATCAGAAAAAAGCCATGAGAACATCTGGGATGATGTAAAAGTGAAACAGCTCCACGATGAAGATCAGGACTCTGCAGAGATGTCTGTCCGGTAGAGGGCAGTGTGTTACAGTCTGAGCCTGAAGCTGCTGGCTCCACTGTCAGAAAAGAGCAAATCTATATGAAACAGCTCCGTGTTTAAACCTCTGTGACCTCATCACACGTCTTTAGGAGATCATACATAAGTCCTACTTATAGGCTTTCTTGTTGATTGGTTTAAATGCTTTGGATAATTTTATGATCTTCATTTCAG